GCTTTATCTCAGTCAGCTCTTTCACTCACTTTCTCCTCTGAATTGCTCTCCACACCCATAAAGAGGAAAAAAAAAAAAGCCCACTACCAACTTGGCTGCCAGGTTCTAATGATAAATAACCGTTGTCAAGTGAAATGTAAATTATAGGCCAGGAGGCGCATAGGGCAGGAAGCACCGGTTTGGGGAGCCGGGGTGGAGGGCTCTGGCCCTCCCTCTCCTCATTGAGAAACCACCACGAAGCTCAGGCCCTACAGGAACCTGCTTGTAGCCAGCAGACTCCACAGGCTTGCTTGCTTTCTTTTTTTATAAACAAACTTTATTTTATATTGGAGTATAGCCAAATAAAAATACTGTGATAGTTTCAGGTGAGGACAAACAGACTCAGCCATCATGTACACATATCCATTCTCCTTCAACAGATTTTCATGTTCTGGCGTCACCTTCTAGAAACTTTAAGGCCAAAACCCAGGGACAGCTGCAATCTGATTTCCATACCTGCCCCAGGAAGTTTTTTTTTTTTTGGGTTCAAACTTCTTTGCCCTTTCACAGTGGCAAGTACTGGGAGTGACTTGCTTGGATCAAAGTTAAAAAATACAACTATAACTAGGAATGCAAGGCTGGCTTCAAAGGATTCCTCTTAAACTTTGTAAATAACAGCCTTCTTTCTCAGCCTCAGGGAACGTTCATCTCTGGAACCCTCCCACTTTGAGGGAGGTCCCACTGGTGGTGATGAGTGGCCCTTTTATCATCTATGGAGAACAAATGTGAACCTTCACCTACACCCTGGTTGGTAGACGTTACCTCCACTATGACTCAGAAAGCCCACTCCCAGGTAGTTACCCAAGAGAAATGAAAATGTACATCCACAGAAAGGCTTGTATGGGAATGTTAATAGTAGCAAGATTCATAATATCCCTAAATGTAAATAATGCAAGTGTCCATCAAAAGCAGAATGGACAAATAAGTGATGGTCTATCCATACAATGGAACCCTACTCAGCAATTAAAGAAAAACAAACTGCATATTCATGAAACATGAGTGAATCCCACAGATATTAAGTTGTGTGAATGAAGACAGATTTTTAAAAAAGCACATACTGATAGGACACGATTCCGTTCCTATGAAGTTCCAGGAGAGGCAAAACCAACTCTGGTGACAGAAGTCAGAATGGCAGGTGTCTTTGTTGGGAGCAGGCATGATGCAGAACAGGATGGAAAGGAGAGAAGTTTCTTTTTTAAAAAATTTAATTAAAATTTAAAACATTTTTTGGCCACACTGCATAGCTGGATCTTAGTTCCCTGACTGGGGGTTAAACCCATGTCCCCTGCATTGGAAGCACAGAGTCTTAACCACTGGACCACCAGGGAAATCCTGAGGGAACTTTCTAAATGGACAGATGTGGTCAGAGTGGAGGATGGAAAATTCATGGAACTATACACTTTCAATGGATAAATTTGATTAAAATTATATCTTAATATGAAAACAGAAAAACAATGATGGCTGCAGGATTTGATGGGGTAAAAGGGCTAGCTCGTCACTATAAAGGTGGCTTGATTCTGTAGAGGCCACACCAACACCTCAGACCCTGAAATTCCACAGGTATAGGACCACCTCAAAACCCGGAACAGTCCCTGGTTCCTAAACCTGGGCCCTGTTGAGCTGACTAAACTTAAAACTGTCCCAGGGGCCTAGCGGGGACAGGCCTAGGGTGGCAGGACCACAGAGGCCTTGGAGGATGATTATTTAGGGAGGTGGGTGGTTTTGCTCAGACTGTGAGGGACTTGCTAGTCCCTTCCCCAAACTCCACAGCTGGGAGCCAGGGAGCAGGGCCCAGGGGCTGGGCTCACAGGACTCACGTCTGCCTGCAGGGGGCGCCCTGCCAATCACGAGGGGTCACTTGGTGGCAGGAACGCTCCAGGCTGTGTCAGCTCTTCCCGCCCACCTACAGACAGGTGCCCCACGCCCTCAAAGAGGGCCCTCAGCAGCCTGGATCAGGTAACCCTGTAGCTCTTTCTGTCCACCTTGGTGCGGATGTGCTCAGCTGCTTCAGTCATGCTCAACTCTTTGCGACTCCATGGACTGTAGCCTGCCCGGCTCCTCTGTCCATGGGAATCTCCAGGCAAGAATACTGGAGTGGGTTGCCGTTTCCTCCTCCAGGGATCTTCTGGACTCAGAGATCTAACTTGCATCTCTCACGTCTCCTGAATTGGTAGGTGGGTTCTTTACCTCTAGGGCCACCAGCCACCTTGGTAGTCGGCACCTATTAACCAGCGTAGCTCTCTGTGTATGGGGTCAAGTTAGTGGAGTGAACTTGTCAGGATCATCAGTCTGTTGACTTCCCCATGTGTGCGCCTGTGGGTGTGCATGTGTGTGTTAAGGGTGGCAACTGGTACTGTTCAAAATACCCATTTGACACAAGGTCAACCTCTCGCACACCTCAGGCTGTGGCATGTGGGGCCTCCCTCCCAAGGCCCAGCAGGCCAGCTCCCTCCCTCACCTCAGCGTTCACTTTTGATCCACTTCCTCAGGGCAGCCTTTCTGGAAGCCTAGGTTCAAGCCCTGACTTGCCCTGTCAGTCGTCTCCCACCACTCTTCTGAGGTGATTCTCTCCTCGCCTTCCTCACTACAGTGCCTTGCCTGACCTCTCCATTCGCTCTACGGTCAAGGAGAATGGGGGCGGTGGCTGGACACAGCCTATACCTGTTACCCAACACACAACATAAAACGAGCACACCAAAATCCAACCCCCACCCCACTCCTTCTGCAACTTCAATGCAAAACTTCTGAGTCTAGCAAACCTAGAATCCATGTCTACTAGAGAGGAAGTCTCTCGGGAGCCAGGCTGAGGTTCTTTATAACCCTCCACATGCACGTCAGGGTGCAAAGTAGATGTGCCACATTTTATTAAAGATATTATCAATATCTGTGGCCATATCAGAAAGACATATAGGTCTTATGAAACTGAGCAGGCAAGTGCAGCTCATGAGCAATTTCATTCCCTAAAAAAATGGACGGTTACAGGAAGCACAGGCTACAGACTCAATGTGGTGAACTGGAAAATGACCCACTTGGGATCATAAAATGAGGGTTAGGACATATTAATATATGCTGACCTGGCAGGTCATCTAAAACACTGTCCAGGAGAGAGGAAATGATCTGTGTGCACAGGTGTGCCCGCACAGACTGTAGCCCAGAACCTCAAAGCTCACAATTAAATCATTTAAAGAAAAACAAAAAATCAGAACCACACTGGCCAGACACCAGACCTATAAAAGTTTTGCTCAGTTGTGACCAACTCTTTGGGCCCCATGGACTGTAGCCCACTAGGCTCCTTTGTCCATGGGAATCTCCAGGCAAGAATACTGGAGTGGGCTGCTATTTCCTTCTCCAGGGGATCCTCCTGACCCAGGAATTAAACCCGGGTCTCCAGCACTGCAGGCAGATTCTTTACCATCTGGGCTTTACAGGGAAGCCCAGACCTATAAAAGGAGTGAAAGTCACCCAGTTGTGTCCTACTGTTTGTGACCCCATGGACTATACAGTCCATGGAATTCTCCAGGCCAGAATACTGGAGTGGGTTGCCATTCCTTTCTCCAGGGATCTTCCCAACTCAGGGATGGAACCCAGGTTTCTCGCATGCAATTTCTTTACTGTCTAAGCCAACAGGTCATTTGAAAAAAATAATCATACATGGCCCTGGTTTTGCCTTTTGTGTTAAGAGTTGGAGAATAAGGATGGGAGAGAGGAGCCAGGGTAATTTTAAACAAGATGCCTTTGGCAACTCATCCTGGCTCAGTGTAGCATTTTAGAATGATCTCTGAGCTAGTTGCCAAATTATTAATACAAGAGAATCTATGTTGAAAGTATCAATGCGGGCTTGAGTTCTGCCTGGTGCTTTTCTGACGTCAGCTACTTGCCAGATGCTGGCCAGATGGACAGGCTGGGGGTGGGGGTGGGGGTGGGGGTTTCCGCTGCTAACGATAAGCTTAACAGCGAGTGCATGGGCTGGGGTCTGACTCTGGCATCTGCAGACATAACAGCCTAGAACAGAGAAAGGATCCTCTGCCCACTCCTGGGGCCAGGGTTTCTGACATCAGGCCGGGCTGGAGGGGAGAAGGGAACCAGAGCTGGATGTTTTTAGCTATACCTGCCCATCTGAGCCTGGCAGGGGGTGGTGGGGGTATCCTGGGTCTGTGACCTCTACCTGGAGGTGCATGTGGCAGGCCTGGCATGGGCAAAGGTTCCCACAAAGCCCGGCTCCCCTCCTCCTGCAATACCCTGGGCTCTGCCCACCTCTGAGTCAGGGCAAGTCTGCCCACTGAAAGCACACGGGACCCCGTCAGGCCCCACGGGTGTCTGGAGACCCAGCGGCCACTGTGGTGGGAAACGGTGGTCAGCCAAGAGCAGAAAGCGAATCACCCAAAGGGAAAAACAGGAAGAGCCCATGAAACAAAAACAGCAAGGAAAGGTTTTGCATTTAACACCCACATTGTCCTACTTTCACTTTCCCAGGAGATGATTCTGTCATCCGGAGTCCGGTGCCAAATGTTTGCTCAGAGGGCGGACAGTGGCCCATGGTCACCAAGGAACCCCAGCGAGCTGAACTTGAACTCAGCGCTGCTAGAGATGGGCAGGACTGGTCGTCCCCTACCCACTGGGGTCCATGGACATGCAACCTCAGAGGTGCGGTTCCACCATGAGCTGGCAGCGTTCACACACACGGGCCACTCAGCCATCTCACACCCTCTGAAGTGCTGTACCTGGGCCAGGTGGCCGGAAGAATCCTGGATATGACGCATGTGCTGGTCCTTCCCTGATCAACCTCCCCGGGCAAGCCGGGGCAGGGGGTGTCATCGAGAAGAACCAGGTGGAGCAGTGTTTGAAAGCCCCAACCCCAGGAAGAACCACCACCACTGTCCACAGGGACAGCATGGCACCTCCAAGTTCCCTGAGGAGGCTGAGGGGCTCAGCGCCCTGACCATCCCTCCACCACCACTCACCATGTATGAAGGGAAGATGAGAACTCGCTTGTGCTTGCCACAAGGCCACTGGGGGTCATCCAGGAGATTCGGGTCGTAGTCCATAAAGTCTCCCAGGTCGCTACCTGAGGATCAACGCAAAATGACAATTAGGGCCTTGACCTCCCGAAGCAGAAGTGGCCGGGCGAATGCCTGGTCCAAAGTTCGATGGTAGAAAGGCTGGTTTCAGGTTTCCAAGCCCAATCACATCGCTCGCTCTGACCATCAGTAGATGTCTCTGCATGCCAATGAAATGTGTCCCACCCGTGTGCCCACCGCCCCCCCTGCCCTTGGCAAAGGAGTTCGTCAAACACTTTACATTCTGACATTTTTTCCCTTAAAAAAAAATTATATATTAATCTCTCTGACCTAGCAGAGCACAAAACTTCATAAGCATGAACGTTGCTGTGAACACTCACAGACTACAAAACAAGGCACGGAAAAGGCTCCCTTTCTAAACGTACAGATCGAACGAGCCTCAAGTTGTTGCATGTGAGTAGCACGTTCGGTGTGAATAATTGTGGGCAGGCTCTGGGGGTCTGAATGCATGCAAACCAGAGCAGATACCAGTGCAAACAGCAGTCAGTGACGGGAGGAGGCCGAACAGCACCTGGACGGGCCTGAGGAACTTCACGCTCACCTGGAATTTCTCTGAGAGTGGAAAGAATCCTGCCTCATAAAGCATTTTTCTCCCTGTGTCAATTCCCACAAAGGCTTGTACAGGAGAAGTGGAGTCTTCCGTCAGAGGCTAAGTAAGCTCACCTGCTGTGAGAGTCACTAATGGAGTTTTCACACCTGCCTGCTCATTTATGGTCCAATTATTTGAAGAAAGCCAACTTAAAAAAAACATTTATTTGGCTGCACCAGGTCTTAGTTGCGACTTACAGGATCTTTAAATTGCAGCATGTGGGATCTAGTTCCCTGACCAAGGATCAAACCTGGGAGGGCAGAGTCTTAGCCACTGGACCACCAGGAAAGGCCTGAAAGGCCAAACTTGAGCACTAGAATGTAGGTAAGAAGCAGGTAAGTGGAGAGATGAGGAGCTGAGAGGCAGAAAGAAGCCAGGGAGCCAGGCCTCTCTACAAGGTGGTCTGGTCGTGGAAACTTAGGGGCTGGCGACTAAGGTTTCTCATTAGAGAACCTGCCCTGTGGCCTGGTCATAAGCCTGCCCATCTACCAGTGCACACAAGGAGACCCAATCCATGCTGTCCATTGAGGCACCTCCTGCAGCCAGACCCCAGCTTACCCGTGTCGAGGCTCCCCTGGGTGCTGCTCGCCCGGCCGATGGAGAGGCTGCGGTGGCTCAGGGTACGGAGCTGGGAGAAGGAGGACGTGGAGTCTAAGGTGTTTCTCCGTGTTCCGAAGGCATTCGTGGGCAACAGAAACTGGGTGTAAGAAACAGTCTAAAAGATGAAGACAAAAACAGGCAGTGATTAACCCCCGGCAATGAAGGAGACGACAGATGAGATGGTTGGATGGCATCACTGACTCGATGGACATGAGTTTGAGCAAGCTCCAGGAGTTGGTGATGGACAGAAGCCTGGTGTGCTGCAGTCCATGGGGTCGCAAAGAGTCGAACATGACTGACTGAACTGAACTGACTGTGAGGTTTGCATTCTGACCAAGCTGCGCTGCCACGCCAAGTTCAGGTCAACATTCTCATAGCTGGGCAATTCTAAAATCCAAGATCTGAAAAATGAAATTTGTTTTTGCACATGTTTGTGCCAAAACCTAAACTGGACTGACTTGAGGCCATCCTAGTTTTAATTTATCCCACTCAGCGTGAATATTCATGTGATATTCGTGTGTCTGAGAGATACTCGTGTGTCTGATCGCAAGGGACCATCTCTAAAGCTGCTGGGATGTTTTCTAACTCAGAAGGCATATGTCGCAGTGCTTTGTTTCATCCACCACGGGTAGAATTCCAGATCAGGCCCCAAGAGTCTCTGATGAGGGCTCTGCCCTCCCTCGTTCCCCTGGCAGATGCTGTATCTATGGTGCTCATCTCATTCCACCCTCCCTCCTTCCCCTGTGAACACTCAGTCCTCAGGAATGAAGCTGCAACACGTGTTTTTCTTTTCACCTGCTTGGCAGAGACGTAGCTCATGACACCAGTCAGAGGCAGCGCGGGTGCGTGTATTAAGTCGTTTCAGTCGTGTCTGACTCTTTGTGACCCAAGAGAGTGTAGCCCGCCAGGCAAGAATACTGGAGTGGGTTGCCATGCCCTCCCCCAGGGGATCTTCCCCCCCCCAGGGATCGAACTCATGTTTCCTTCATTACAGGCGGGCTCTTTACCACTCAGTCACTGGGGAAGCCTGGAAAGCCCCTAAACACTGTCTAGTAGTGGGATTGCTACTCACCACACTTAATACATGTTCAAACCACCCGCCACTCCTCCAGGCACATGCATGTGTGTGTATGCAAGATAAAGCAGTTTCCCCTCACTCAGTTTGTTACTCATGGTCCAAAAAGACTACATGGAAAATTCTAGAAATAATTCCTCAGCTTTAAATTGTGAGTCAGTCAGAGCAGTATGATGAAATCTAGTGCCATCCCGCCCAGCATATGAACCATCCGTTTGTCCGGCGATCCCACCCCTTAGTCATGCAGTAGCTGTTTTGGTTATCAGATGGATTATCATGGTATCACAGGGCTTGTGCTCGAGCATTATTTTACTTACTAATGGCCCCAGAGCACAAAGTAGTGACAAAGTACAATTCGGATAGTCTCTTACTGTGCCTAATTTAAAAAGTAAACGTTATTGGCGGTATGTACGTGTAAGTAAAAGCGTAGCATATATAGGGTTCTGCCCTAGCCAAGGTTTTAGGCATCCACTGGGGGTTCTTGGAACATATCCCCCGAGGACAAGAGTGGGTAACTGGACTAGTCAGGATGGGCATTCACGGAGAAACAGTTGGGCAGCTATGTAACCCATCTGCACACCTGGACAGGGGGCTTCCCCGGTGGCTGAGATGGTGAAGAATCTGCCTGCAATGCGGGAGACCCAGGTTCGATCCTTGGGTCAGGAAGATACCCTGGAGAAGGGCACGGCAATCCACTCCAGTAGTCTGGCCTGGAGAATCCCATGGACAGAGGAGCCTGGTGGGCTACAGTCCATGGGGGTCGCAAAGAGTAGGACATGGCTGAGCGACTAACACTTCCTTCTGGACTGGCGTCACTCATGCACCCAGGCTGTGCCCCACGTCAGGTTTTCCAGCTTAAGGGTGGTTCGTGGTCCATCACGGCCTCTGCTTCCTGGCCTTTGTGGTGTCTGTCGCACAAGCCGGAGGTCTGGGAGCCACGTGGCCTTACCTTCCCGTCGGCACCCAGCTCCACGCCTTCCAGGCCGATGATCTCTTTCAGGCTCACGGCTCCTGCTGATTGTCTCCCTCCATCCAGCTTCAAATCTCTGCAGGGACAAGCCAAGGATAAAGATGCTTCTGTTTGCACCCAAAGGAGCCATGGAGATGTTTACTATTGGAACGCCAGAGTCACTCTCACAATAATGATGGAGGAGGTCCCGCCGTGCCTGACGGGATCTTCTCTTTGTCCTTCTTTCGGGGCTTCTTGGTAGTTCTACCCACTTTGATATAATGAAATTCAACTAAACAGAGAGCCTGAAGATGAGAGGCAGGCTCAGTAGCCAGTGGATTACCAAAGTCCCTTCCCGCTCAGCAAGGCCGTTCGCTCTTAAATGGCCAGACTAACAGGAAGCCAGGGGAGGTCACCTCTCCTTGCCACCCCCTTATTAGACAGGAGGAAGAAATTCTTACCCAAACAGTTCTCAGCTTTATTACTAGTAATGAAGGAACTAATGCCACAACAGCCACCCCAGCTACCTTACTGGGCCACTCAGACAATGACTATCTCTATGAAAGAATAATGTCCAGTACTACCAGCAGGGTCTTCTGTGTTGCTCAAACGGTAAAGAATCTGCCTGCAATGCAAGAGGCCCGGGTTCGATTCCTGGGTCAGGAAGATCCTCTGGAGAAGGGAATGGCAGTCCACTCCAGCATTCTTGCCTGGAGAATCCCAAGGACAGAGGAGCCTGGCAGCCTACAGTCCATTGGATCGCAAAGAGTCGGATATGACTGAGCGACTAACACTACTACCACTACCAACAGCAAGCACTTCCTAATTTACTTTCACATATCCTCCTTTTCATTCTTTAAGATCACCCTATTGGACATGCATTGCTATTGTTCCATTTTACAGATGAGAAAAATGAGGTCCAGTGCAAGTAACCGGCTCACCAAGGTCCCCACCGACAGTGGGCTGTAGACCCTGGTTTTGTATCCAGTGCAACATTTCGTGCAGCATTCTTCCCTGGGTCTGGCTGTGGCTCTGCTCGCGGGTAACTATTCACATTTTCAAGGCCAATCCCCCTCCTTACAGGAGCTCTCAGACTTTCACTGCATATTAGAATCGCCTGGGATCTTTGACAAACTACAGGCACATCTCAGAGATTCCGCAGGTTCAGTTCCAGATGTCCCCAACAACACAAATATTGCAACAAAGCAAGTCACACAAATTGTTCCGTCTTCCACTGCATATAAAAGTTATGTTTGCACTTTAGTCTATGAAGTTTGCAATAGCATTATGTCTAAAAAAAAAAAGTACAAGCCTTAATTAAAAAAATACTGCTAACAAATGCTAACCATCATCTGACAATGCAGACTGCCACAAACCTTCAATCCATAAAAGGAAAAAAAAAAAAAGCAGTGTCTGTGAAGCACAATAAAGCGAGGTGTGCCTGTATGATGTCTGGCCCGCGTCCCCAGATGTTCATTCTGATTCAGTTGAATGGGGCGTAACCTGGTCGGCTTGAGTTTTAAATACTCCCAGGTGATTCGGATTGGAACTGAGTTTGGAAGCTCCGTCTTCCAGCTGGGCTCCACACGCAGCCTTGTTAGTCTAAGCCGCCCCAGGCCGGCAGCATTCGTGCCTTGTGGCCTGGAGGGAACCGCCACACTCTGAGACGTCTCCTACAACTTAAGCAAGAATAAACACCATGTAAAGGCCAGACTCTCCAGGCCAAAGGTGACGGAATCACGGGAGGAGAGAACGAGAGCCCGGTGTGTGGTGAGGAAGAAAGACAAGAGGCTGTCCCTCCCACCTTCCAGGAGGGAAAAAAAAGTATCTTTTCACTGTGTTGAGCAATCATCCTTGTCTATGGGCGTTCCAGGCATGGACTGGCACCCTGATCCTATCTGATTGATGACAGTTTTCAAAAGAAACACCCAAGTCCTGTACCTAGGAAGTACTGCACTTTCTAAGGTATTCTCCTTGGGAGGCCATGGTTCTGCCCAGACCAAAAGGTCTCTGCAGCCCCTTTTGGAATCAACACTAACATCATGCAGAAAGAAAAAAACAACCAACCCATCCCAGTCTTCAAACTTTATACTTATATATATAGTGCATGTGTATGTATGTGTGCATGCATATATATATGTTAGTGTTAGTCGCTCAGTTATGTCCCACTCTGCGACCCAATGGACTGTAGCCCACCAGGCTCCTCTGCCCATGGAACTGTCTAGGCAAGAATACTGGAGTGGGTTGCCATTTCCTTCTCCAGGGGATCTTCTCGATCTGGGGATAGAACTCAGGTCTCCCGCATTGCAGGCAGATTCTTTACTGTCTGAACCACCAGGGAAGCCCATTGAAAGACCCCCAAATATTCTGAGTCATAGAAGTGCTCTGGGGAAGTGTCTGAGTCCACCTCGGGTGCCTCCTCTGCTGAGGACCACACTCCCTGAGGGCTCTGAGGGCCCAGCTGATTTAAGTCACATCACCTTATGAACATGCCACGCCAACAGAGAGCCCCGCTTCCCAGTTATTGACCTCAAATCCAAAGCGGGAAGGACCAGGTGGGCTGGAGCAGAGCGGGGCTCAGCAAGACCACGAGAACCTCAGGTTCCCTGGAGATTACGCGAGGTTGCCTCGCTTCCTATGTGAGCCACCCGGGGGGACTCTCAGAAAATTTCCTCAAGCAATTAAGGACAAAGACGATGACTGAATAAGGGCCCTAAAAAGGGAAATGCCTTCACAGCAAGCACCAGAACAAGAGGCAAAAATAGCTGTGGTGGGAAAGGATGGAGTGGCCCAGCGGTGGAAGACCAGGAGGTGAGCTGGCACAAAGCAGCAGAACCCGTATTTTGTTAAAGGACCCACAACGCGCTTCCTTACACTTACTGCTTTCCCAAAGTCTAACCCAGCAAGCATGTGCCTCAAATTCCAGCTCCCAGACAACCGCCTCCTTGTTTCCACTTCACCCAGATGGAGAATGTTCCTTAGGACTGAAACGAATACAAGAGCAGGAAATATCTCTATGGGATGAGAAGATTAAAAGAACTAAGGCATATTCAGATAGTTCCCTATTAAGAGCGCTCCTGAACACGGACATAGAGAATAGACATATGGACACGGTGGTGGGGGTGGGGAGGAAGGAGAGGGTGGGATGATGGAGAGAGGAGCAAGGAAACATACATTACCATATGTAAAATAGGCAGCCAACAAGAACGTGCTATATGACTCAGGGAACTCAAACTGAGGCTCTGTAAAGACCTAAAGGGTTGAGGTGGGGAGGGAGGTGGGAGGGAGATTCAAGAGAGAGGGGACATATGCATATCTACAGCTGATTCATGTTGATGTTTGGCAGAAACCAACACAATACTGTAATGCAATCATCCTTCAATTAAAAATAAATCTTAAAACCTTAAAAGAGTTTTAAGTTAAAAAAAAAAAAGAAGCTTTTCCTGTGGGAGCCGAGGGGTTGAGAGCAGCGTGGCCTTCTCCTTTCCCCGCCATGGCGTGTGCTCGTCCACTGATATCAGTGTACTCCGAAAAGGCGGAGTCCTCTGGCAAAAATGTCACTTTGCCTGCTGTGTTCAAGGCTCCCATTCGACCTGATATTGTTAACTTTGTTCACACCAACTTGCGCAAAAACAACAGACAGCCCTATGCTGTCAGTGAATTAGCAGGTCATCAAACCAGTGCTGAGTCTTGGGGTACCGGCAGAGCTGTGGCTCGAATTCCCAGGGTTCGAGGTGGCGAGACTCACCGTTCTGGTCAGGGTGCTTTTGGAAATATGTGTCGTGGGGGCCGCATGTTTGTACCAACCAAGACCTGGCGACATTGGCACCGCAGAGTGAATACAACGCAGAAGCGATATGCCATCTGCTCTGCACTGCTGCCTCAGCCTTACCAGCCCTGGTCATGTCTAAAGGTCATCGTATAGAATAAGTTCCTGCACTCCCTTTGGTGGTTGAAGATAAAGTTGAAGGCTACAAGAAGACTAAGGAGGCTGTTTTGCTTCTGAAGAAACTTAAGGCCTGGAATGATATCAAAAAGGTTTACGCCTCTCAGCGAATGAGAGCTGGCAAAGGCAAAATGAGAAAACGTCGCCGTATCCAGCATAGGGGACCCTGCATCATCTGTAATGAAGACAATGGTATCATCAAGGCCTTCAGAAACATCCCTGGAATTACTCTGCTTAATGTAAGCAAGCTGAACATTTTGAAACTTGCTCCTGGTGGTCATGTGGGATGTTTCTGCATTTGGACTGAAAGTGCTTTCCGAAAGTTAGATGAGCTTTACGGCACTTGGCGTAAAGCAGCCTCCCTCAAGAGTAACTACAACCTCCTCATGCACAAGATGCTCAATACAGCCTGTGGTGGGAAACAAAGAAAAGAAGGCTATTGGCGATGAGAAGCTGAAGAAGCCTGTGGTGGGAAAAAAGGCTGCAGGGACCAAGAAACCCACAGAAAAGAAACCCACCTCAGAGGAAAAGAAGGCTGCTGCCTTCTTTAAATTTGTTTATTCCATAAATGCCAAATCATTTTGGACAGCTAATTTTGAATAAAGACCTGAACAAAGAGGCAATGAGAAACATGAAAAAAAAAAAAAGAAGAAGAAGAGTGCTCCTACACGGAGAGCTGGCTGTAGGCAGGAACAGTCTCAGTCCACGTCTGTATCCTGTCTACCTACCGTCTGAGGTGTAAAGATGCTTAAAGAAGTGTTTGCTGAGCGGAGGTCAACTGACTCCTTGTTGGTTCATAAAGATGGCACAGATGGTGGGTGTTTTTCCATTGTGCCCCTTTCCATCTGTCTCAATTTGCTCCCAGGCTCAGTGCTTCTCTGGGGAAGCACAGATCCCAGTTCGCAGAACCAAACCAGCCACTTTTACTCCACACTCCCCTTCTTCTTCTTAAAAAAAAATTTGGCAGCACCTAGCGGTATGTGGGATCCTAGCTCCCCAACCAGGGATCAAACCCATGTCCCCTGCATTGGAAGGTAAAGTCTTAACCACTGGACTGCCAGGAAAGTCCCTCCATGCTTCCACACACTCCCGTTCTCGACTCCTCCCTTGTGAGAAATGGAGCCATAACAAAAATTATACTTTATGTGCAC